CTTTTCTTTTCTTTTCTTTTCTTTTCTTTTCTTTTCTTTTCTTTTCTTTTCTTTTCTTTTCTTTTCTTTTCTTTTCTTTTCTTTTCTTTTCTTTTTTTCTTTTCTTTTCTTTTCTTTTCTTTTCTTTTCTTTTCTTTTCTTCTTACTGCTGGCTTAGTTCCAGCAAAGGAAAACTGGTACCTGACTTCAGTGCCACAAAAAATGAAGCCTAGTTTATCTCATAAGAAAATCTACCACTATATTTACTTATTAATGGGACTTAGGAACCTCAACACCTTTGAGTGAGGGTAGGTGAACACCTCTGGTACATGTAGATGAGTACTAATGCCCAGAACAGCCCAAGGGATGCCACAATATAAGATTGCCTTGCAAGGAATGACATATACTCCTACTCTTCACAGGGTTCTTATGTCTGAAAGAAAGTTGAGCCCCTACTAGTGTTTTCTTTCTGTAACAGCTTCTTGCTGATACTTAGTTTTTTATCTTGGTGCTGTCTTGGCGCTTTCTTCACATTTCGGTGAGATACCAGACTCTAGGGGAACCTGGTGATCAAATAGTTTTTATGCACATAGTGCTACGGCAAACAAAGAGGCAAACTGTGGATGGCACAGGAATGAAAATAAAAATCAAACCTAGAATGAAGGAAGTAAGTCTGAACAAATCAAAAAGGGAAATATGAGTCCACAAGGAGATATTTGACCATACGAATAACACTGAATGTGGTAAAATCATCTGATTCTGAGATGAACAGGAATGTCTTCAGCTGTGATCGCTTTTTAGCACTTAAAAATAGGAGTTGAAATTGCACTCTCTCAGATAGGAAGAAAGTGTTCATAAAGCATTTTTGGCTCTTTGGCCCAAACTGATCAGAATTATGYATTTTTTTTCTCCCTTGGATATGATTTGTGGTGCTACTACAATGAAAATTGCACAGTCTCAAAACAAATTTGCACTATTTGGGGAAATCAGGATACCATTTGACTTAATTTCTACTAAAAAACTAGGTAGTATTAAAAAGTATTCATCAGAGTATTGGGCAGGAAAGCCTACAAACATGGTATCAAAAATGATATCCAGGATTTGCTTCAATGCTAAGCTTCATCATTTGCTGTGAAAGCAGAGGGTTATTTAAAATGCATTGGGAAGAAAGCCCAGCTTGGAAGAGATGCGACAGCAGCTCTGCATGCAAAGGAGGATGCAATATGTTAAAAAAGCAGGATGTTTTTGCAACCAGAATCAGTCATACAAATTCTCCCCTTTTATCCAGCATTGCAGTGCTCGTGCGGGGCTGGTGCTGCCCCAGGAGCAGGGAGAGTGCCCTTTCCTCGGCTCATCTGCCAGACGTAGGCAAAGTAAAGGCATCAACAGGACTGAATTGGAAGTACTGCAAAACTAGCAGTTGTTTGCAATGATGCTGCAAGTTTTATCCAAGGTAACCCAGCAAAGTGCCACCAGCACCGAGCCATCCTCCTTCCCAGGCATGGCTCCGCACAGGGCCAGCTCAGCATGGAGCAGGATCATGGCATGGGGCCACTAGAAGTTCCAGCAGACACTTCCTCCTGCCTAAGAGAGACCATTTCCCCTGGATTTTAAGAATATTTGATAGTCATGAGGTACTTCCACATAAACTATGTGAATGTTTGCACCACTCTTCTAGCTGCAAATCAGAGGACCAGGTTTTTCTCTTGTGTCTCTGTGTCTCTCGTTTCCCTGGGCCTCCTCTAAAACTTACCTTGTAGCAGTTAAGTTTTTGTAATCACAATGGATTTTTGATTGGCAATATATTCCAATGTTTAATAGGCTTCTTAATAAATCTGGATGATGTATATATTTATGTAATTACTTATGTCTGTGATGTGAACATGCTATTTCATTAAATACCTGATTTTTTTGGTTTCCTGTTCTACTGTATGTTATGTARTAAATCAATTTGTTATCTGGGTTTAGATATATTTTTACATACAAATAAATTTATTTAAATTRCATTTATGTTTAGATGTTGTGYGGAATGCAGTGACTAAACAATTGAGGTTAATCAGCTTGGTCTCAGCTGAATCCTACTCCTATGAAAATGAGCAAGACTTTTACAATTCGCTTCAGTGACTGCAGAAACGAGCTCTTTCCCAGCATAAATAAATAGTTTGGCTGATGGTAAGATTCTGTTTTTCTTGAAGTAAGTGAAATTGAATGTGTAGCTACTGAGGAATGTAATAATTTACTCTCAAATTTCAAGTATCTATCTACAGTGTGATAGTAATCCATTAAAAAAAAAAGAATTTTTTTCAGCTTTCCAATTTAAAAGAGATAATATTACATACTCTATAGCTATTTGCATATATATATATGCATGCACATATTTATATATAGATTATCTACACATATGCAACATGGCTAAAAAAAAGCCTACTTCTTCTTTTTGACCTTCCTTGCATATCTTTGAATCTTTATTCTTTAGCTGACAAGAGGAAAAAAAACYCTAACATAATCTGAATTTTAAGAAGAATATTGTTCTAAAACTCAAAAGGAGAGTCTCTGAGGAACTAGGCTAAATATTATGAAGAATTTAGCTGCAGGGCAAATGTTTCCTATTTTCAATTTTTACAACTCATCCCTCTCCCAGGATATCCCCTAATACCCTCATTTATAATCCAAATGATCTCTCCCGCTGGATGGTTTTACCTATGCTGTGTCTCTCGTACCTATGCAGTCAGAAAAGCCAATCTTGTCAGTATTAAGTCTTGGCTGGAACTTTGAGTAACGGTTATTAAATTCACTGCAGCATGGCAAAAGCTCAGAACATTCTTTCCAGCCTTATTTGTGAGTTTGTGGCTACACATGTAACTCGTCTCCCTTCCTCCACCTCCTAAAATTAAATTTGTAATATTCCTTGGGATGATACTTGGCCTCAGAATAATAAAATTCTGGAATTATTTCAAAATGTGTTCTTATTATCCCAAAATGCACTCKCCATATCCCAGAAAAATTCATAATAACTGGTGTATCATGAGATGAAAGAAGCAGCATGGACTGAAATACATGGAAGGAGGGTCCAGTTGTGTGAGAGCCTTTAAATCCATAGAAATCAGAATAGTGTGCACCTGCTAGCATTAAATCATAGGGCAGCTGGTCTTCTCTGCTCTACTCTGCACTACTCTAGCTTTCCAAACATAGCTATTCATAAATAAATAAATTAAATAAATTAAATAAATTAAATAAATAAATAAATAAGTTTTGGAAAAAAAAACTTCATTAAAGGTTGGTTTGTCTGCAAAACAACTTCTTGATTCAAGAGAAAATGAAAAGCACATCAGGGAGCTGCTGCGCTTTTCACCACGGTTACAACAGAAATGCTGTTTTCTGAGGAATGTTAGAAGTGGTGCTTGCTGAGAGGAGCTTGTGGAGGTGGTGGGGAAGGCCAGGCAGGGCCTCAGGAGGCCAACACAACACTCCTAATTTCTCCAAATAATCCTTCTGTGACCTTTAGTGAATTGTCTAGGATATATTTTTCAAGTGTACATAAGGAATTCAGATGCCTAAATCCCACTCATTTTCAGTAAGAATTAGTGTACCGAATGCACCTGAGCTACTCACAGATGGTGTATGAAATTGCTTAGGAAAATGAATTTAGGGATTTAGGATTTTTTTTTTTTTTTTTTTTCATGTAGAATAGTGTTGGATGATATTAACCTGTTTCACTGAGGTGCAGAGAGAGCTTGACTTCTCCCGTGATTAGCACCCTGGAAAGTTAGATGAATATTGATGCACAAAATCCATCTTCTGTATATGACCCAGATGCAGACTTTGCCTGGCTTCTCTTCATAAAGGTTAGAAAGCTGCCCCTGCACAGCTGGAGATGCTACAAGGTAAAGAGAGGTCAACATTTCCCAGAGCTATGGCCAGCTGTCACTTAGAAGGGTGCTGACTACTCGCAATTGAAACTACTAATATGCTCTTTCAGGTGATATAGAAATAACACTAAGGAGAGGAAACAGGCTTTGTACGATCTGAAGAAAGAAAAGCAAAAAGTAAAGTTTAAAATTCAGCTGATTATCCCACTGCTAATAAGGACTGAAGTTTTTCTGGTGCAGGACTCGTGGGTTAGCTTTAGCACTCCTAGCCCCAAAGCATTTCTCTCAGAGTTTCAGAGAAATCACAGTGTTTAATCCTGTGGGACTGGGGAGGAGAGCACAGCCCTCATAGAGTGACAGGAGAGGGTGGCACTGAAACACTGAGGCTGATGATGAAGTGGGAGTGATTTTGGCTTGTTTTTTGGCTCCTCAGGAGGCACAGGGAGAAGTTCTCTGCTACAAGAAATAGGAAATGCCCTCAGGCACCAAGGACCTCAAGCGTGTGTGTGTGTGTGTGTGTGTGTGTGTGTGTGTGTGTGTGCGCGGGTGCATGTGTCTCTTCCTCACACCGTTGAGCAGAGCAGCTTTTGGAAAAACCTTTTCCACACAAACAACTGAACTCATTGCAGACACACAGGAGAGAAACCAAGCTGCACCACTCTCTGGGATCAACCCTACAGGGAGGATTTTGCACCCTAGTCAAACAGCTAGGTGCCAGAAGATTGCAAAGGTGCATCTCTGCAAAGGTGACTTTTTGGACCAGAAAAGAAAACCACCAGACAGAATGTGTGATTTTTCCGTTAATTCTACCTTTCCTCTCCCCAGGTGCCAAATGCATATTTATTAAACATGCATGAAGGGTTTTTGTTTGGTTGGTTTTGTTTATTTGCTTGCTCTTTGGTCTAAGCATACAATCCATAACCATGTGGGTATATAATTCAGCCCATTGGCAACACACTCATTGGAGAGATCATTTTTAGTTGGCAAACAGGAATACAGAGAGGTGGACTGGGCCGGTTCCATTGGTGCTCAGGTTTTCACATTGTCMGTCAGCAACTTCACCCTCTTTTCAGAGGCCTGTGGTGCCCCATGGCACTGAGCTGCATGGTGGAGCAGATGGACCCAAGGAAGGTCCCCAGGGCAGGACCTCTGCCAAGGCTGCTGCTGTCCAGGCATCTGGCTGTGCAGATGTGAGCCGCACATCTGGCTGTCCGCATTAGCATCATGAAGCAGATTTCTAGAGAAAATCCCACACACAAGCTGACGAGCTGAGAATCTGTATGAGTCTCCAGGGTGAAACTGAAACAAGTTTTGAGGACTTTTGACTGTATTGTTGGATAAAATATTTTTAGATATTATTTTGTATATGTAATTTATGTTTTGATGGGAACACAGGTGCTATTTGAGGCTTCAAATTCACAAATTAAAGTGAATCTCAAGATCTTTATCTGTGTAAATTGGAACTAGTGGAGAGTTTCCTATGGTGCCTAGCAAAGTCAAGCTAGGTTGCCTCATACATCTCTGCAATAAAGGCATCATATAAAACTGAGTTAAATGTATTAATGTAGTAGCATACTACTGTATTAAGTTAACATACAGCATGAAATGTACTTTGTCTGTTTGGAAAACACAATTATTATTCAATGTAATATGGTTTCCTGAGTGTGTTAGTGCTGCAGAAATAGGAACCATAGTAAAAATATGATTACTCCCTCAGCAAGATAGCTTTACAAATTCCTCTTATTGATTTGACTTTCAGGCTCTTTTTTTTTTGTTTGTTTGTTTTGATAGGGTTTTCTTACTTTTTTGTTTGTTTGTTTTTTGTTGTTTTTGGCTTGAATATAGACAAGTTAATATGTGTCCAGAAGTCATATATTTGAATATGTAAATATGATTGTGTTGAATGACATTTCTAATGCTAACTTTATCTAATAAACCAAAAATCATCTGCTTTACAGTTTTTCAAATTTTCATTACAATTCACTGTAAGAGAATTTCCATTATTTCAAATATAACCAAACTTGAGGGGTACTCCGCCATTTATTTTGGGGAATGATTCATGACATGCTTCATCTCTAAAAATCAATATTCACTTTACCTCATTTGTAAGCTGATTTGGCTTAAAACAGAAGAATGACTGAGATCTACGATTTCAATTATGTATTGATCTATAAATACGTTTAATCCTAGTACTCAGCCAAATGCAATATATAAGGAGAACATGACTAGAAAGCAACAAATCATTTTCTCTTACTAATGTTCAAGCAGAAAAAAAATGGTTTTTTTTTAGTGTTGTTATTTTTTAGTTCATATCAAAGACAATAAGCAATGTGATCTATTATGATGACTGGCCAGAGGATACATGAGATTTGTTTTCTCTGAGCTGGTTCCAGCTGCTCAGCTGCGGACATCACAGACAGATGGCCTGAATAATGTTCCCTCTTTGAACTTTCCTATTTGGCATATGTCTTCCATAAGAAGCAAGCTTAGCAGGCTGCAGTGCCCATCAAGTCTGTTCTTGCGACTTTTTAAACTGGTATCTGACATTAGAGACATTGCAAGTCTGTTTCACCATGCTGCAAAATTAACCTTTCAAATGCATGAATATACATGATTAAATGTAGCTCCTTAAAAAAAAAAAAAAATAACAATAACGCAATAGAT